GTAATCGGGCATGCAATAGACATTTTTACAAATCATTATTGAAATATTCCTTTATAGTAGCCATACACACTACGAGAAATCGTTACGATCAGACTGTACAGTTCGAACGGAACAGTTTAGCGTACGTGGCGTACGTATAGGAAACTGTGCAGTTTTATAACATACACGCTACGATTTATCGGTACCGTTCGAACTGTACACTCTGATCGTAACGATTTCTCGTAGTCTGTATAGCTACCATTAGATTATAAAATGCATTACATATTAACCATTGCTTCAGGGACCTTACAAACTTATATTCAGGAACTGACCGCAGATAAAGCGGTAAATTATATAGTATACTGGTGTACTTCGAACTGCTTACAAAAAAATGATTTATATGTACAAATGAAATTGTATTTTTACTATCTTTTTTCATTTTTTAAACCTTCTTAGACCTCCACAAACATTTCAAGACCAAGATAAGATAAATCCGTTCAGCCGTTCTCGAGTTTTAGCGAGACTAACGAACAGCAATTGATTTTTATATATATAGACTCGTATGGCAGACCTTATACGTATGGAGAGGTCGTTGCTCCCATATTATAAAAAGTTATTATATGCATTTCCCCCAAGAATGAACTATTCTTTAATATAAATTAGCAGCTAGTAAATTTTAATGTTTATGGTTTAAGTTATTGTAGGATAAATAAATAATACCCCAAACAAAATAATTATCAGTAAATTACTTCTAAGAAATAATGAAGCACAAATTGATAATTTTCAACTCTTATAGAAGGGAGTAACAACCTATAATGTTATAGGTACTCAGATTTCTCATTAGCAACATTTTATTGGCTATAAAACCACACAATAACTCAATTAGAACCCAATCTGTATACCTACTTAATATCCTTGGCGGCAACCCAGGAGACTAGGTTGCAGGCTCCGACCTGGATTCGCCCCAGATGCGTCGCCATGGCAACGGGCACAGCACTCGTTTACCGTGTGTTGTATTGTAATATTATTATTATTTATTTTATTATACAAATACACATACATATTTCTAAAATCATTACGAAAACCTGTTAAGCTTTATATGGTAAGGTATGGAAGCCACTCATTTACAACTTTATACTTTCACTTTCAAGTCGACTATTTTGTCGCGTATGATGTGTAACATTTCAAACATCACCTTATATTAGTACAAAAAGAAATAAAACCTACTACAAAAGGAATAAGCCATTTCAGGTGCGGTCCGAAGGGTGGGGGGGGGGGGTCACAGGGGACATGACCCCCAAAAGTAAGGCCAAATTGAAAAATTTCAAAAATTTGCCAAATAATATAAGGAAATTTCTAACTATCTCCTAACAGCGATAAATTTATAGTTTGCTGACATCCAGTGGTGTTTTTATGAACTACGTACGATGGCCATAATAACTTGGAAATGACATCTAGTACTAGTTTAGAAACAAGGAACCAAACTACGTAGTTTTGGTAATCCTAGCAAAATCGATATGCGTCGTTATGATAAAGATTGTATAACAATATTCTAATAATGTAATTTGTCGGTTTATTGTAAACATTCATAAAGGTTTACTACTCCCTCTACTTAGTTAAAAACGTGGTCGAGAGCTATCATGTTAGAAGAGCGATTAACAGATTTAGCTCTTCTAAACATTCACCCGGAAATAGTACCAGACGTCTCAAATATTATCACCCGATTCGCAAATACAAAGAGACGACTTCCATTTTGTTTATAAGTAATGTATAAAATAAAATTGTGTCTTGTGCAATAATGTTTATTTTATTCCAGATACCTATTTTTAGGGTTCCGTACCTCAAAAGAAAAAAACGGAACCCTTATAGGATCACTTTGTTGTCCGTCCCTCCGTCCGTCTGTCAAGACCGTTTTTCTCAGGAACGTGTGGAGATATCAAACTGTAATTCATATCGAATACTCAGGTCTACTGTCCCTTGGAGCTGTGAAAAAATCAAACTTCTAGGCCAAAGCAATCAAAATACAGCCGTTTATGCCTCAAATTTCCGCAAATTTTCGAAACTCGCACGGGAATCAAAACCTACAGGGTACTTCCCGTGAACTTAGAATCTTGAAATTTGGTACAAAGTAACGTCTTATAGTCCAGATAAAGGAAATATTGGGAAAACCGGAATTTTTTAGTCACATCATATAATAAAAAAAATTTTTGAAAATTCAGGTGTTTACGGAACCCTCTGTGCGCGAGTTCGACTCGCACTTGGCCGGTTTTTTTAGTGTAGTGAGTGACCCCCTCCAAAATTTCAGGCTGCGACCGCGCCTGAGCCTTTTGAACATTATAATAAATAAATAAAAATAAAAATCGTTTATTTTCAGACATAGTCCATAGATGTGTTAGTTAATTGACTTAAATGCTATGTTAGTAACAATAAGACAATACAATAAAATAAATTTTAACAAATATTGGCTTGGAGCCCTATACAGCGGGGCGGATTCACCGCACACGTGATCGCAGCACGTGCAGCTCAGTGAACCGGCCCAGCAGCACGGAGTCCAGCCGGTCCCCTACCATCCTCAGGACGCTGTTCGTGCTCTCTCTCACTCTTCTAACTAATGAGCCAACTTTTTTGCGAATAACCGCATAGAAGTCGTCGACTCCTGCATCGGCAAACATGCCTGAGGCACTGCAGTAGCGAGGAAGCTTGAACAGAGCCCTAAATACATTATTGTAGGAGATACGCAGAGCATTATAGGCCGCGCGTGTAAAGCTGGCCCACAGGCTGCCCGTATATAATGTCTGGCAGTATGCCTTGAACAGCGTAATTTTGACTTCAGCTGAACAGCGAGCGAACCTACGTGCCAACATGTTACCACGCACCGACAACGCCCTGCGCTCCCTCTCAATATCTGCATTATCACATAAATTTTCAGTGACTATGTGGCCTAAGTACTTAAACTGGGAAACATGGCTCAACGGTATAGCATTTAGAGTGATCGGAGGTATAATAGTCGGACCTTTCTTGTCGGCTTTAAACAACATGAATTCACTCTTTTTCTCATTATATTTTAAACCATGTTCCACAGCATAAGACTCACATATGTGCAATAATTTTCTTAATCCCCCCATCGAGGGGCTCAGCAGCACCATGTCATCCGCGTAACTTAGGTTATTGACGCAAACGTCATCTACGTGACAACCAACATGCGTGCTACTGAGCTCCTCGATGAGCTTATTATGTTCTTGAATCAAATAAAATAGCGCGAGCTTCCGAAACTTCCTGTTACACACTTCCGTCCCACTTCACGTAATCACTCAAACAAATTGCAGTAAAGCGAGAGGAAAGATGTTACACATCAAAAAAATAGTGTATGTCAGCACCGACGCACGACTGGAGTTTACTCCTTAAGTTCGATAGTCTAACCAGACGCAAAAAGAGTTTATTTAACTTAAAAAAGATTGATACTGTATGAAAGGGTAAATTAAGAAATTAATGAAAATAATATACATATATAAATATATATTTATTCATTTCATATACATTTATTATAACTAATCGACGAAATATTTTACATTAAACTTTTTACAATAGTCAATTTCAGATGTGCATAAATAAAGGTACGCTACGATACTGTGTTACGGTGTAGCACTAGGGCTGCTACAGCGTAGACAGTAAAAACGTAACGAGGTCATTCATCGATAGATTTCACCCCTCACATTTTTCTCATACCGGGCCCCATATAAATGCATATCGATTCTTAAGGAGTAAACTCCAAAAACATTCGTAGTAGAAATTTAGCTAATAAAAACCCCAAAAGAAATACTGGGTTTAAAATATCCCTAGACCTAACGGAGCGATAGCAGGTATTTAATATTGATTCGGTATAATGTATTAGAATGTCGTTTTTCAAAAGATCCTAACTAGTAACTCAATCGTAACGTTTCCATCTGCTTTGGGTTTTGGTGGTTCATGTTAAACTTTTATACTACCTACCACGATAGTCAGAAGGACATCCTGGAACCTTCAGTGTACGGGAGAAATATATTTTTTACTAATTGTCCAGCCAAATGAACTATGTAACACGGGTGATGACTTATTGACCTATGGTTTATTTTTTCTGAACTGAAATCTCCAAACACATTAGTATTGTGTGGAAAGAGAACTTGAGAAGTAACTTCCGCGTCGCAGCTTTGATATCAACTGAGAATCGTAGAAAATATTTAACTTCATTTCCTTGCCAGTAGGAAAGATGGTTACGATGCAATTTTGTTAGCAATAAAAACGAACAACGAACGTTTATTTATCCCTGGGAACAGTTAAAGAATTGACGGGGCGATAGTGCATAGGGGGCGATAGATAAGGAACTATGCTATTTTGAGGCATTCCGTATTAGAAGGAACTTTAATAAAAAATAAATAACAGTAGTCAGCACGTCTTCAGATTTATTGCGCGATATCTCGAGAACTCTACAAAACATTGAAAAAACGAAAGAAATCCAAGTCAATGCAATTGTCGCTTGAATCGCATTTTAGCAATTTCAATCGGAATTGGTGTAGTATCCTTTTTATTTTATCATGTTAGTGCGTCGTTGTTATGCCAGCCCATGAACCTAGCTTAACGTTATGTTTTTTTTTAAGCATTTAACTGCTAAATTAATAAATCTAGGAAAAACTATACTAGACAAAAAAGCGTGTGCGTCTCGGGACGCACGACAGAAGTGATAACTCACCTAAGCAGCGCTGCGGGTTAGAGTCGGGGACGAGGAGCCTGCCTACCGTTACCGTATGCGTGAGAGTAACGCGTTACGTAACAAATCGGTTAACCTTCCCATAATAAGTTATCACTTTAAAAAACCACTGTGAGCGAACTGAGATACTTATTAACGAAGGCTATAATTTGTTTCCAGCGCGGTGCAATGGCGGTGCGGTGATGGCGGATGGCGGCGCGGGCGCGGGCGCGGTCGCGGAGGCGGCGGCGGGCGAGAGTGCGGCGCGCGGCGCGTCGCTCGAGCGGGCCTACGTGCACGACGTGTACGAGCAGGCCGGTGAGGAGGGAGACGAGGCGCGCGCGCCCGCGCCCGGCGTGCGCTCCTTCCTCGCCGACCTGGAGCCCGGCAGCCTCGTGTGCGACGTCGGTCAGTTCACACATACACACAGGGACACGTCCTCGAGAGGGCCTGGAGACCGGCAGTCTAGTGTGCGACGTCGGTCAGTACACACATACACACAAGGACACGTCCTCGAGAGGGCCTGGAGCCCGGCAGCCTAGTGTGCGACGTCGGTCAGTACACACAGGAACCGACCCTCGAGTGTAGGTGCAACGTCGCTCAGTACGCTCATACACACAGGAACACCGCTGCGAGCGTGATGTGCGGTTAGTTATATCGATTTGTGGACCTAGATCCCGAGAGATGCCCCATAGTATTAGAAACCCCTTCTTCTAAGGAACGTGTACAATAATAGTCTGACTCTCCCAGATCAGACCCGCAGGCCGTGGCCGTCTCGCCGTCCCTGCCCACATAAGTCAAAAAACACCTAAACTTAAGCAGGTCGTAAGAGGAATAGCGAAGTCATTGCCATCCATGCCTAATTAGGCCATAACGCATAAAACTAAAACACATCATCATCAGCATGCTTCCTGGGTAGTTCTGGCCACAGAATAATATTGTAAAATAAGGTTAACGAAATAAACTATTTTATTTATTTTTTATTTATCAGCATATTAATGTCCCCACTGCTGGGGCACAGCCTTTCCTATGGATGGAATAGGGAGATTGGGCCATCACCCACCACGCGGGCCCAGTGCGGATTTGGCGGGTGCTAACGACTGCAAATGCAGCCGGAAACAACAGCTTAACGTGATAGAAGATTTTTGTTCACACATCCAATGACCGAATGCAAAAGTTACTTAACTTCAACGAACGCAGCCGAACGCGCTAAACACTTGCGCCATCGAGCTCCATATACACACATCAAAAGTGTCTAGGGATCAACATATATTTTTGCAATAACTTTTCTCCTGATTGATATTAATTAAAATTTTCTTTAAGGATTCATCAAATAAAGTGTTTTCGTTTGTCACAGTAACGATAAACCAAGTCACCTTTGCATTAATAAAGAAATTTGCCATTTTCCTAATAAAGGGATTTTTGACATTTGAACCACTAACACAAAAGTTCGAAAAAAAGACTGAAATAACAGTTTTCTCTAAAATTTTATTGGGTAACTTAAACAATTAATAATCCGTATTTCTACCGCGAACACTAACAACACAAGAACATCGGTTTGGCATACTCAAAATGAGTTCATCCAAATCACGCTGTGGAATGGCCGCCCATGTTCGTTGCAACAACAAAAAAAGGTCTTCTTGCGACTGGATACCCTCCATATTCGGCAGAGCTCTTCTCTGTAGCATATCCCATGCATGCTCAATCGGGTTCAAGTCTGGCGACTGAGCAGGCCAAGGCAGGACATTGATGTTAGCTGCGGCGAGAGTCTGTCTTACAACTCTTGCGGTGTGCGGTCGTGCATTATCATGCATTAACTGAAATAAGGGACCGATTTGCACTTGTAGAGGAACGATGACGTCTGATACAATCGTCTCAGCATAAATTTGAGCGTTGAGGTTGCCTCTGATCCAAATCAACTCAGTTCTTCCGCCGATCCAAATACCCGCCCATACCATGATGGTTCCACCACTATAAGGATGGACTTCCTGGCAGGATTTTAATCGCTGTTGGCATCCAGGGGTTCTCCAGTGTCGTATACGTCTTGTATCCGGTCTCATACCAAAACGAGACTCATCAGAAAAGCACACGAAACGCCATTGTTCTTCTGCCCAATTTCTGTGTTCAAGAGCCCATTGATATCGAATCCTACGATTATGCATTGCTATAGGTGGTACCCGTAGCGGTCTTCGGGAATGAAGGTTCACTTCATGCAAGCGGTTTCTGACTGTTTGGTCGCTAATTAAGTTCCCTGAAGAGTGATGAAGCCTCACGGCTAACATCATGGCGGTTATTGTTGGAGCTCTTCGAGTTAAGATTTGAATGTATCGGTCTTGTCTCCGTGTGGTGCAGCGATACCGTCCTCCATGGCGCTCAGCCACGGTACCAGTGCTTCGGTATCGTGTCCAAAGTCGACTGATAACACTCTGACTTGTATTCAGAGCTAAAGCCACAGTACGTTGCCGGGAACCAGCTTCTATCATTCCCACGGCTCTGAGCATTTCTTCCCTGCTTAAATGACGTCGCCGCTCCATAATAACGTTGGTTTTAATCAGTAGTAGGGAAACAGTAGCACTAATAATGTCTTCAATGCGTTGTATGTTTTTATAGGGAAAATATTGACAGCTGATTTTCATCTTTTACTCGAATTTGATTCACAGTTCCTGATTCAAATTATGAAATGCACCAAAAAGGATCCATATAAATTTATAAAATCATAAATTTATTACAAAGCCACATCTCAATCTCAAGAAATCCGCATAAAAATGCTTGATCCCTAGACACTTTTGATGTGTGTATAAACACATATCATGCAAACTAAAATAAGTTTGCATAACAGACTATTTAAATCTATAATATAAAAATGAATCGCTGAATGTGTTGCTAAGCGCAAATCTCGAGAACAAATGAACCGATTTCGATAATTCTTTTTTTAGAATATTCCTTGAAGTACGAGGATTGTTCTTATAAATTTCAAATATGTTAGTGGAGAGGTTCCGGGAAGGCAAAAAGAATTGAGTGACGTGATGTTAATAGAAGTTTGGAAAAGGCAAATATACCATTTTCAGTTTTTTTTTATAATTATATGAAGAGTCATTTTAGTCTACACTACAGCTCTACACCGAAGCGAAGCGAAGGCGGGCCACTCGTAATAAATAAATACAAACCAGAGTAGGTATCCTAGCTTAACCCCATTTGATAACTTATTTTGTTTTTGATTTTATATTTTTCATACAGTATAAAACATAGTTAATCTTCGGTTAAATAATCCGGGTGACTTCCTACATCAATCAGCCCTGTTAACCTAGTTTCTAATAGTGGTGAAGGCTTGGTGCCTTAGGGTGCGGCCAGAGTGCACTCAGATTCAGATTCAGATTCTAAAAACAAGCGCGAGAAATAAACAGTGTAGTCTAAGCTGGTTGCCTGCTTTTTCTCGCGTTTTGTTTTCTGAGTCTGAATCTGAATCTAAATCAGGAGTGCACTCCGGCCGTACCCTTCGACTACACTGTTTATTTCTCGCGCTTGTTTTCGGAATCTGAATCTGAATCTGAATCTGAGTGCACTCTGGCCGTACCCTAAGGCGATTGCCTACTAACCAAGCCCTAGCCTAGCCCTAACTTGAAAAATCTAACTTTCCCAGAATATGCTGACGCCGCCGTCGCCGTAACTTCATTAATGCGTATTCGTCATCTTCCATTGACTAATATTTCTACGAACGAATAGTCCATTCACTTTTAAGATTTTGCGTCTCAGTGATTGCAGGCTAACAAGCGTGAGTCTGTTATTCAGTTGCTTAAACTTTTATTTACAATGCTGATTCATTAGCATTTTACAGAAACGTGAAACTTCCACAAATATCTTACAATTTTTCTTCTAAAAGTCATATAGGTACTTAAATATGTAACTACCTACCTATAATAAAGGGGAAGGATAGGAAACGAGAAACTCGATTCGATCGAGCAACTTTCGCAGTGGTCGGCCATTGGATGGGTGACCAAGAATTTACTATCTCGAGCTCTGCAGTCGTTAGCACCCACCAATCCGCACCAGGCGCGCGTGTGTCATGGTCCAATCTCCCTAATTTAATAAGCTGGTGATGATACGCAACATACCTACATTTTAAAACGCGATCCTAATCTATTCATGAAGAAATGTTATTTTTTTTTGTTATTATTACGATATTTTTTCCAAATAAAAACCGGATACGATGATACATAATTCAAAAGAAGACCTTTAAAAGATGATTTTCTCGCCCACAATAGAATTGATGATAGCATAATTAGGGGCAAATCTTGTGTGAGGGAGGTAAATGCCACACGGGGGAAGGTACAACGATATATGTATAAATCAAACATTATTTTCATCCTCCTTCGTATAATAATAAGTTGTACCCATGGAAGTAACTTTTTAGTTGTCATTTCTAATTAATTTTGTAGATTTTATATTAGAACTAAGATCCTTTTCGGACGGTACGGAATGAGCGGATCACCCACAGAACACAAATAGAGGTTAGAAGGTTGATCATATCATATTTATTTGCACGAGAACCGTTCTCGCCAGCTCGCCCCCACTACACATCCTCCTAATAGATAATAGCCAATCAAACTATGCGACATCAAACAATCGATCCAATCAGCGCTCACACCCGAAACCAACGACGCAATCAAAACCAAGTTTTGGTCAAGTTATGAGCATTTGCTCACACATAAATTTTGCGCGCCTGCCCCGTCCACGAGGCCCTTGTCACTAGGATTACTATCCGTCCGGATTTGTGCGGACATGTACGGACTTTTTGCCTTTTGTCCGGACTCTGTGCGGCTTTTTAATTTGTCCGGATTTTTTTAATTAGATGGAATATAGTAAAACTTCTTATTAAGTTATATCAAATAAGTCAAATAATCTTTATTAAGTTCTCATTAATTTAAACAAAATATATAAAAATAATCATCTTTAAAAATCAACGAGACCCCCCTCGCGATGCGAGCGTCTGCTACCACGCGTATAATATCGCTGTTACTAAGGGTGGATTCGACCATATAAGAGTAAATCTTAATCTTAGAATAAATCGTCAGTTAATCGAGAGTAAATTAATTTTACGTTTTACCATCTACAATCCTAAGAATAGTGGGCCTATATTCTGGAATTGTTACTATACCGCCGCTTCGCACGGTATAAAGGAGCTATTCCTAGAATAATGTAATGACGTCAGTCAGTCCAATCATCTGATTTCTGTCATTTCACAAATATATAATCTGTGTTTTCAAATCAACTCAACGCACTAAACTACAGTCCATCAAATTTAAGAAGTACCGTTTGACGTTTCATGTTTTTCAAACAGATATAACTTTGTTTAAGCGTAACTTATTCAAATTCGATAACCTTTTTCGTAAAACCATGAATTTATAAAG